CTAGTTAGCCGTCGGGCGAGTCGTTTAGATCCTATAGCGAGTCGCGGCGGCTATTCTTAGAAACTAAACCGGCTCTCTTAAGTCGCGACCTCTAACGCCGGCTAAGATAGTCCTCGACTTGCTCTCGGAACTCGTAGCTATAGTAGCCGTCGCGGTCCTCCTACCCTAGATCGCCCTAGCCGGCGTAGGAACGATTGCTACCTACGATACGCGAACGATCGTCGCGACTATTATCGTAGTCTTCGGGGCCCGCCTAGGAACCGGTCTAATCCGGTTAAGAAGAAAGGCATTATTCTATAAGAAATTAGGCGAGGCGGTTATCTAAGATAATACCTCGACGTAGTACCGACTCCTATAAGGCATATAGGCGCTACTAGTCTAGTTATTTACGAATCTCGCTACGATCTAGCTCTATCGTAGACCCTATAGATAGCGGACGCTAGTGCCGGCTACGAGGCTCGCTATTGCCTAGATTTCCCTTCGTTAGCCCGCGGCCTCGCGGCGCGTCCTTATAATTACAGTCTATTAGGCCTCGTCCGTTATCTAGTAGAGGGTACGGCGAGGATTCCTATAGCAAGGATTTATCGCTAGAGATCCTTATTAGTAACAGTCTACGTAGAAACATAGAGGGCAATATACTATCTATATAATTATTAGGACGTCGCGCGCGTAGCTATTCTAAATAGGTAGTAGCTCTAGGCGGTCGATACCTACTCGGAGAGGATAGTAGCAACGACGCCGCCTACTAAGTAATCGGCGAAAACTCCGGTGCCTACGAAGAAGGCGAGCGATAAGTAGCCGGATCGGGCTACGGGCGTTGCTCTCTTACTCGTGCTTGTTTAATGTCCGCGGGCGAGTATATCTTAGGGAAAAACTGCTTATAATAGTACAAATCGCGAGTATTCGGAAAAGCTGCTTTTAGTTCCTTAACTGATCGTATTAAGGTGCCTTTATCGACTACCTACTAGCTAGGGAAGTCGATCCCGTCGAGGGTATATAGGTATAGCTCGTCGATCTTAGCCTAAGACGGTAGTAGATTTCCTAGTCGCGGGTAGTATTATAGGACGTAGGAGGCAAGCAGGTCTATACGGCCGTACTTTGCTCTAAGTTAGACTGCAAAATTCTCGCTATGCCGGACGTAGTAGCCGATAAAGGTACAAATACGTAGGATATAAGACTTAGTATCTAGTAATCTAAGATTACGGTACTAGGGTAGCGGTCGGACCGCTAGTTTAACAGATTTGTACTTCTATCCGGGTTAGAAGCGAAACGAAGCGTAGGATTAACGTAAAGCGTTATATAGTAGAGTATCGTTACGGAGGCTGTCTAGATTAGTAGCAAAAGGTAGTTTATTAACTAGTTAGGGCTAATCCTTCCGTTGTTCCTTAAAAGGTGCCTTCCTAGGGATGCGGGGAAATAGCTGCTAGCCGCTAAAGCGCGGCTACCTACCGAATCCGCGGTTAGGCGATTCGGGTATATAGTATATTAGTGTCGGCGAGGCACTATAGTAGGTAGCCGCCGACTAGTGCGGAATAGTATAAATCGAGTGAATATCGGTCGTAACGTAGCGAGTCGAATCGTCGCGGTCGGCGCTAGATCGGGGGAATCCTTAGCTAATCGTCTCGGTTCTCGTCGCAATTAGGACTAATAGCTCGGTTCTAGTAGAGGAGTTGATTAGTATAGAAGCCAATTAGGTCGTAATCTTAGCGAAGCTACTAAGTTGTTAGAATACGCTCTATAGAGCGGAGACGGACACGATTCTAGTATATAAAGATAATTAATTGTTAGTTAGTTACTAGCCTAGGAAACTATATATATTAATCGTCCTAATCTGCGGCAGGATCGATAGTATCCGGAGTAGGATCGGCCGCACTACTGTCTAAACCGTAACAGTAGGCTTTAAATATTTAGTTAAAAATTAAAAATATCTATAGCAAATACTAAGTACTACTTAGCTAATTGCTATAGTAAGAGAGAATAGGACTTTAGCTATATACTAAAATAGCGATTTAGACTTTAGTAGTAAATTTGCTAGTAGTAAAAGTTATTAACCTTAGCTTAAGATATATAAATAAATCTTAATTATTTAGGCTATAAATAGACATATACTAAAAGAATAGATATACTACCTTAGTAGAGGCTAAGATATATTATATATAACCCCCTAATTACTAGTAGTTATCCTCTAGCTAGTAAGTCTAGTAGTATAATTCTTAGAGATTAATAGCTTTAAGCTATACTATCTAGGTATTATAGATTTAGCTATTATACTAGTCATTTCTACTACTAGTCCTCCGAGAAATTATATAGTTTAAAGTATAGAATACTAAATTACTAACTTGTAAATAGAGATAGGTCGATTAGTAGAGGTCGATTAACGGTTCGACTAATAGTTCAATTAATAGTTTAATTAATAGTTTAATTAATAGTTTGATTAATAGTTTGATTAATAGTTTGATTAATAGTTTGATTAATAGTTTAATTAGTAGTTTAAGAAGAAGTTCGATTACTAGTAATAGTTTAATTCAAAACGTAATTAGTAGTTTAATTAGTAGTTTAATTAGTAGTTTAATTAGTAGTTTAACTAATTAAACCGTTTAATTAGTAGTTTAATTAGTAGTTTGATTAATAGTTTAATTAGTAGTTCGATTAGTAGTTTTAGTCTAACGGAAATTTTGATTAGTACTTTAGCAGTAGCTAGTCCCCTAATAAATTATAAAGTTTAAAGTATATAATACTAAACTGCTAGCTTTTAAATAGAGATAGGTCAACTAGTAAGTTTATTAGTAGATTGATTAATAGTTCGATTAATAGTTCGATTAATAGTTCGATTAATAGTTCGATTAATAGTTCGATTAATAGTTCGATTAATAGTTCGATTAATAGTTCGATTAATAGTTCGATTAATAGTTCGATTAATAGTTCGATTAATAGTTCGATTAATAGTTTAATTAATAGTTCGATTAATAGTTCGATTAGTAGTTCGATTAGTAGTTCGATTAATAGTTTGATTAATAGTTTGATTACTAGTTTAATTAGCAGTTGGATTAGTAGTTCTATTAGTAGTTCGATTAGTAGTTTAAATTACTAGTAATAGTTTAATTTCAAATTGAATTAGTAGTTCAATTAGTAGTTTTATTAGTAGTTTAACTAGTAGTTTTATTAGTAGTCTAACTAGTAGTTTTATTAGTAGTTTTATTAGAAATTTCATTAGTAGTTCAATTAAACATTTAATTAATAGTTTAATTAGTACTTCGATTACTAGTCTTAGTCTAACGGAAGTTTTAACTATTGTTTTGTTAGTAGCTAGTCCCCCGATAAATTATATAATTTAAAGTATATAGTACTAAATTACTAACTTCTAAATAGAGATAGGTTAATTAGTAGGTTGATTATTAGGTCGATTAGTAGATCGATTAGTAGTTTGATTAGTTGTTTAGCTAGCAGTTCGATTAGCAGTTTAATTACTACTAATTTCCTAGTAACGTTTTGATTTAAAATCTCGTTAGTATTTTAATTAGTAGTTTAACTAGTAGCTTAACTTGTGGTTTAATTAGTCGTTTTATTAGTAATTTCAAAAATAGCTTAATTAACTATTTAATTAATAGTTTCATTAGCAGTTCGATTGCTAGTTTCAGCTTAACGAAAATTTTAATTAGTATGTTATTAGTAGTTTCTTTAATAGTTTTACTAGTAGCTTTATTAATAGTTTTGTTTCTAGTTTAGTTAGTAGTCTTAGTACTTTAATTAGTAGTCCTATTCGTAGGTTAGCTCGTAGTCTTAGTAGTTTTACTAGTAGTTTATTAGTAGTTTTGTTAACAGTTTTATTAGCAGTTTTATTAATAGTCCTATTAGTAGTTTTACTAATAGTTTTACTATTAGTGCCATTTGAGTTATTAGTTTTATTATTAGTTTTATTATTAGTTTTATTATTAGTTCTATTATGAGGTTTACTAATAGTTTAGCTAATAGTTTATCTAATAGTCTATCTAACAGTTTACCTAATAGTCTAATTAATAGGTCTGTTAATAGTTTTCTTAATACCTAGTCCTACTAGTAGTTGCCTACTAGTATCCCTACTAATAGCCTAATAGTCTAAAGTTACTAGTAGTATAGGCTTCGTATTTAGTAGGATATAGCTATATCTAGGTCTTTAGTATACGTTAGGCTCCTACTAAATTTTTATTAGCGTATTACGCTTATATCCAGGGTTCGTTAAGCGCTTTCGATTTACGTTCTACGCTAAAATCCGGGATAAGTTAAACTTCCCTTTAATCTTTAATTAAATATTACTTCTACTAAAATTCTTAGCTAATTATTTCGGTCTTAGCGGATAACTTAGATTTTCGCGGGCAGTAGGCGCGGTATCTAGATTAGTAGCTACGGTACTAATTATTTCGGTATTAGCGGACAACTTAGATTTTAATACTAGCTAGCACTAGCTAATACTAGCTAATACTAGCTAATACTAGCTAATACTAGCTAATACTAGCTAATACTAGCTAATACTAGCTAATACTAGCTAATACTAGCTAATACTAGCTAATACTAGCTAATACTAGCTAATACTAGCTAATACTAGCTAATACTAGCTAATACTAGCTAATACTAGCTAATACTAGCTAATACTAGCTAACACTAGCTAATACTAGCTAACACTAGCTAATACCTACGCTAAAATCCGGGGCAAGTCAAATTTCCCTTTAATATTTGTTTCGATTGACGTTCTACGCTGAAATCCGGGGTAAGTCAAATTCTACATCAACTTTGATAGTACAATTGGCTCTGCAAAAATTCTCAGCCAATCATTCGGGTCTTGGCGGACAACTTGGAATTTCGCGCGCGAGGGCGCGGTCCTTAGATTGGCAGCAAGCTGCCAATCAAGCTCCCGTGCATGCCAAGAAAGCGGCATCTCCGAATCGGGCAGTCGCGACGCGCTCAACCAAAAACTTTGAACTCCCGCTTCAAGCTCTCGAACACAGACATAGACATAGAGCAAGATGGAGGACGACCCCAAAGTCCGTGAGTGATAAGAGGCTACCGCGAGGCTCTTACTGCATTGGTTGACACGTTGCAGCCCAATACTCCACCAGCGATCCTACCTCATTCGCCGCAACTTCCGCAAGCGAGAGGTGGCCAGTCATCCTGGTATGCAGGCGGCATGGCCCGATTGCCATGAGGAGAGTCACTGACGGTGGCGATAGACTGGTGCCATTGACGATCTGCATAAAGCGGTCATCAAAGAAAGCGATCCTGCCAAAGTCGAAGAGGGCAAGACAATCACTTCCGGCATCGCGGCGCTCAAGTATGAGCTTCAGCACAACCGCCAATTGACGTAAGAAGACGTGTAATGACAAGGCATGTAACGCGCTCACATACCAACTCAGACCACTTGAAGACGATGGAGAGCCGGATATAGCACGTTACAACCACGAACTTCAGCAGCGCGGCAATCCGAAATGGCATGATGTCGCCTGGCTCTATTCAGAGTGCTACCTATATCGGTATGGCGGTGTATGATAGGCTTCTTACTCGACAGAAGCTGACTGGAAAATGATAGACGTGTTGCCACTCTCTTCGCCCTCTCGAAGCATTGGAAGAATTACGATGTCTTCTCAAAGCAGAAGCTCTCCACTTTCCGCTCATCTCGACCTGCCGTTCTGGAGCTCGCAGCACGGTACAATGACCTCACAAAGCAGCTGCAATCAAACAAGTCGGCGTTGAGCACCGCATCCGACGAGGAGCGCGAACAAGCTGAAAAGCTGCTCTTCATCGAAATGTGCGAAATCTGCTTGTGGGGAAATGCCACAGACCTGTCCCTTCTCACCAACCTATCCTATGACGATATCCAGAAACTGCAGGGTTCCAATGCTCGCAAAGCAAACGAAGACAAGATCATTGTCAACGACTTCGACAAAGCCTTTGCAATCCTCAGCAAGGCAAAGAGTGCAGGCGCCAGAGATCGCAGAATCGACATTGTGCTCGACAATGCCGGTTTCGAGCTGTTCGTGGACCTCATTCTCGCTGGCTATTTGCTTCAAGCGGACTTGGCCACGAGTATTGTCCTTCATCCCAAGAACATCCCATGGTTTGTGTCTGATGTGATACCAAAGGACTTCGCCGAGATGCTCAGCGTCCTCGTCGATCCCAAGCGATTCTACGAGACGCCCTCCGAGGATGATCAAGCACGAAACATCACGCCTCAGCCACTCTCACAAACAGAAAGCGACGACTTGAAGACGCTCTTCGAGAATTGGAGTTCACTGTATGCAGAAGGCAAAATCGTGCTTCGCCCGAACGTCGTCTGGACCGAAGCCGGCAGCTACTGGCGCTTACCCAAGACCGCGCCAAACCTGCACGAAGATTTGCAGCAAAGCGAGCTCGTCATTTTCAAGGGTGATCTCAATTACCGCAAGCTGACTGCCGATGCCGCGTGGGATCCCACAACACCTTTTGCAGAGGCCATCGGGCCGATGGGACCTGGCTCAGGTGTGAGGACCTTGGCGCTGCGGACTTGCAAAGCTGATGTGGTTGTCGGCCTGCCGAAAGGCAGAGATGAGGAGCTTCGCGCGATGGAGGACGGAGGTGGGGACACTGGTGCGAGAAAGTGGGCTTGGAGTGGCAAGTGGGCGGTGGTGAGCTTTTGTGATGGCAAGGCATAATAAATATCAATACATCGATATATGTTAGGTGAGTATGACTGTGCTTTTGGAGTTGCACTGCCGCGTCCATCAAACGTTGGAATAAGCCAAGCGAGGGTATCTCTTCGCAGCGAGGCAATTTCCAACGTCTCCCGAACGGCAACGTCTTCATCGGCTGGAGCGAAAACAGTCACCTCAGCGAACATAACGCCGCGGGCGACCTTCTCCTCGAAGCAAAATGCAAAAAGAACACTTCGAATACCTATCGAGCTTACAAATTCAACTTCACCAGCACTCCCTCCGAAACCCCAATCCTCAGCGTCACCATCTCAAAACGTCTCAACTGGCCCACGCCCGAAACAATCTTTCATGTCAGCTGGAACGGAGCGACTGAAGTCGCGTCCTGGAAATTTCGACGTTTTCCTCCTGCGCATCCTTTACTTGGAACTCGTAGGAAGATCTCTTTCGAAACTCGTTTTGGCGTCGTAGCTGGTAAAGAGAAAGTTTATACGGAAGCTATTTCGAAGGATGGGAAGGTTCTTAAGACGACTGATGTGAAGACTCCTTTGGATTTGGAGAAGCTCTGCTCGGAGGAAAGTTTTAAGCAGCAGGTCCTACCCGAAGAGATCGTATATCAGCGTCCTGGGAGGTATGTGTTTGCTGAGTCGGGGAATAGCCATGCATACTATGTTTTTTGGGCTTCTGCGGGAATGGGCTTGGTTTGGGGTTTTTGGATTTCTGTTCGGTTCGTTCGGAGACGGTGGAGGTGAAGGTTGTGGAATCTTGGATCACAGCTACGCAGATTACGTTTTCCGGACATGACATCCTCAGTCATGGTCTTGGTCTGGACTTTCCGCTTCGTCCGTCGACGATGGAGATCACGTATGCATTTTGGTCAGTCAGCGGGATTGGCTTTGACTTTCTTGGATTGGTGAGCATGCAGGTACGGACAAAACCTCCCGCATGCCATCATACTTTGAACTTCGACATGTCTTGATTTCAAGACTTCATCTACCAACAATGTCATCTCAACAACTCGCCATCATCGCCGGCGTCGGCTCAGGCACCGGAGCATCCCTCGCTCGTCGCTTTGCCTCCAAATACACCGTCATCCTCCTTGCCAGAAAACCAAGCAGCTACCAACCCGTCGAGAAAGAAATAAACGAAAATGGTGGCAAAGCCCACGGCATTAGCACCGATATTTCCAACCCGGAGAGCGTGAAAGCCGCTTTTGAGGAAATCTTGACCAAATTCCCCAACGCATCAGTTCAAACCGCGATTTTCAACGCTAGTGGCATGTTTGTGAGGAAACCTTTGCTGGATATTACTATGGAGGATATGGATGCGGGACTTGGCGTGAGCGTGTAAGAGAATTCGAAACCTCGTAAACCTTTTGAATAGATTGAACTAACCTTTGCCTGCCTGCGTATATAATAGTCGAGGAGCCCTCCTCTTCGCCCAAACCGTCCTCCCCCTCCTCCTCAACTGTCCCCCCTCCCATCAAATCCCCCCTTCCCTCTTCTTCACCGGCAGCACCGCCGCAATCAAAGCCAACCCCACTAGTGCCGTGATGTGCGTTCCCCGACACGGCCTCCGCGCTCTAGCGATTTCCGCCGCGAAGGAATTCGGTCCTAAAGGCGTTCATGTCGTCCACGTGATTGTGGATGGTGCGATTGATACGCCTTGGGGCCAGCCTTTTCTTCGGGATAAGCCGCTGGAGGAGAGAATTGATCCTGAGGGGATTGCGCAGATGTATTGGGATTTGCATTTGCAAGGAAGGAGGGGGTTTACGTTTGAGGTTGATGTTAGGGGGATGGGGGAGAGGTGGTAGATTTGGGGGATTTCAGAGAAGTGTTCTTGCTATGGTGATGGATCTCACTATTCATACATGTAGGCTTCTCCTCCGTAATAGAGAAAGTTCTGATTTTTTTGCTTTTCTTAGTAGAAGATTGTGCCTCATCTCACTCCTCATCTCCTCCATTACCGATATCTCAACAGTCTTCATGTTCTTAATAGCAAACAGCATTCAACCTCATCTCCAACGGAAACACATGTTTGATAAATAACCTACCTGCACATCCTCCAACCCCTTATCTCTTACAACCGTTAGTTTGTACATCAATTATGAGAGCGAAAATCCTAGAGATCGAGCTATTGTTAAGACTTGCCAGCGATGCCTTCTTCAAGCCTAAAGACACTACCACGACCGTCGAACTTGAGCTAGAGTCGAAAGTCATCGAACATGCACCAAAGGATCGAAATGCGGTCGAGATTAACTTACCTAGGAGCTGCGGTCGTCACAGAACGATCAGCAAGCCCGCGCTCTCTCTTGCTCCAGTTCTGACAAAGCCTGCTGACAGGGCTATAGAAACCCTCTTCACGCCATTCGTGTCATCAGCAGCGCAGAGTGCGGTGCGGATGGGCGGCGTTTTCGAAGGTTCTCGGAAGCCCGATGACTACGGGCGAAGTCGCCAAGTCGTGCGCCGCAGAAGATGCAATTGATTCGTCGAGGAGATCGGTCGAGGTTCGTAGAAAGGCAATGACACGACGCAAGTCCAGCAGCGTTTGGGATATCCAGATAGAAGGCACCACACTAACGTTACCTCGAAGACTCTAGATTTTTTTTTTTGAACCTGACCGAATGACTTCATCTAGTACAGTACGCGAATCGAACTAATCTCGACGTGGTTGAGGACATAGCGGATAGGCTAAGAGATTTCTACTTGTTTAGAGGCAATACTGGAACTGATTCTTATCCTTATTGGGTTGATTGGTTCCCTGTTCGAGAACGGCTTCTTGCCGAATATGATGGGGTACGATGTTTTGTCCTTCGCTGAAAAATTTCTCTCTGCTCCTGGTCAGCTCATGCCTACTGCAAGCAATTGAGGCAGCATTGGCAACGATATCAAGCGTGTACCGCGATCCTCGAATCACGTATACAGTTCAAAACTTCTTCGCCTCGAATCAAGTGTCGGGGCCAGACCGGAATGTGGTCAAGCGCAAATATGGATATCTGACCTGACGAGGTAACGTGAACGGAAACAGAGAACTACTCTGGATCACGTCATACGCAACTCTACGCAGATAGATGGATTATCGAGACGATCATTCTAGCACGATAGAAAGAAACACTCGAATGGGTATCTTCATCGCCTGGTCCCGTTCTCCCGCTCCCGCTCCCAAAACTCCTTTCCATCCTCTTTGAAGGCCTGCCATTCTACCGTACAACCTTTCGCAAAGATGCATCCTTGCGAGATCTACTGTCCTCTCTGCTTGTACCTTCTCGCCTTCCTCGGCCCTTCTTAGAAGAATGAGTGGGTATGGGTCCAAGGAGAATGCTCTTGACCTTGTTGTACAGATTCTCGAGCGCCACGAAAGGGTAGAGGAATAGAATCCAGGCAAGATTGATAGGAAATGCAATGACGGAAAACAGCGTGTCGAGGAATCTTGCGAAGGCGCCACGACTGTGAGATTCGTGCGCAGCCGATGCTGCCAATGTCAGGGCTTCTTGAATACGTGCTTCGAGACTTTGAAACTTTGCTTCGCTCACACGTTCGAGCGCCGCCGACCGCTTCTCGTAACGACGAACCGCACGCTCGAGACCGTCCAGCCGAGGCTCATAGCGCTTCTTCATCTCAGCGGATAGATCGAGCATGTCACTCTTCTGTGCAACATTCATAGTAGTTGGCGGAGCATTAGCTGTCTCGGAAACTTTGGCTTCTAGATCGGTGATGCGCTGACTTAGGTCATCAATATCTCTCGTGTGGCCCACAGTCGATTGGAACGGATCGTCTAGACCGGTGATGGTACGCTGAAGATGAAGCGTGCGTGCAGACATGAGACGCACGACCTGGCGGACCGGACGTATCTCTGCAGCCAGGAGGAAGACGGAGATGTTAGTGTCAGACACCAGAGCTCCCGAGGCTCCCGACAGTTGCGCACGAATGACATGCAGTAGATAGGCTGCCAGAATCGGACACAGGAAGGCTGCGGAAAGTGCGAGCAGTTCTTGTCGACGCAGCTCTGCAGCGGCCAGCTCGCGCGTGCGGGTGTCTTGCACAGGAGCTTCTGAGGGCGCATGCTCCGTCTTGGAATCAGAAGGCGATTTTGGGGAGCTGCCGGTAGAAGAAGCGGTGTCCACAGCATCTTCAGGCTGATCCGCAGCAGCAGCAGCAGCAGGACAATCTGGCTCTACGTCGTATTTCAGAGCGTGCGCTGAGTAGTACCAGTCCCAGGGCAATCTAATGCTCCAATTCATAAAGATGCCCGCCAAGCCCAAGATCAGCATGTCCGTGACGAAGGCTGAGCCATTCTTGAACAATAGCCCCGCGATGGCAGGCAGTATAGCAAAAGCGAGAGGGGATGAATGCCATGTGCTCAGCTCGTCCTCGACTTTCCGACTTCCATTGTCCGTCCTGAGATCGAGAACGTCATCAGTAAAGGATCGCGACGCACCTTCTATGCTGGAGAAGGAGAGGATGGAGGTTCGTCGGCGTGGGAGTAGCGGTGGTTGTGGAGAGGGCGGGCCTTCACTGGAGCCTCGCTGGAGTAGGCGTGATCGCGCAGCAGCATAGGCTGGGAGAGGTTGTACGCGCGTTGCCGTGGCGGAGCGGAGGAGTGGTGTCGGTTCATCGTCGTCGCCTGCGGCTGCGGTGGCCATGGCGCTGTTTCCGCAACTCTGTCGTGTCGCATCAGAATAGAGTTTCGTGTCGGCGGGCGTCAGATGCTCGTCTCATCGTCGTCGTGCCACTGACATGGACCGACAGTTTATATAGGTGTGAAGGGAACGGAGCCATTCGTTCCTGGCGCTCTCACCAGCAGCAGGAGGTACGGCAAGAGTGCCTGAAGTGCCTGAAGTGCCTGCCCTGCCATGCAAGAGGAAGTGGGCGGATCAAGCAAAAGCTTGAAGCCAAATGGGAACGCGCCGGACTGGCCGAGGCATCATTATGACCACTGCATCATCACACTCACACAATCACACCCACCTTTTCCGTCACCACCATCATTACCAACGGGGCATGGCAGCATACACGGATCGATACGTGGAACCAGCCGACGTTAATCGGATCACTACCCGCGTCCAATGAGCGCGAGGCGCGACGATGTCCCATCGCCTCCGGTCTCACAAAACCTTCTGAGAACGGAACGACTATCTTCGACCACTGGGAAGGATACGAGCGCCCAACATTCTCGAGACTCGCGTTGAGTTTCGCTGGGAATACGCTCAGCTATTCAAGTGCCGATGTGATAGAGACTACATACGGTGGTATCATGCTGTCGACGGAGAGATTCTCAATGTCTGAAAGCCTTGTCAGTGACAGAATGGGATCGCTCAGACCACTGAGTTTTCGATCGACATAGATGACATGATGGACTCGAGAAACTGCTGATTCAGCCACCGGATGGGGACTTGCTTGATTTTCCATGTCTTCGACAAACAACAGGAAGCAATCATGCGGTTTGCAGTGCAATTCGACTATGATCTATTGGAACCCGGAAGGCACCATGTTACGACTTGCGAGCAAGATGTGGTTACAGAATCCCCATCAAAGCTACTGAGACTTCGAGACGAATCCGAGCAGGTCGATGCCAAATCTTTGAGATTCTGCAGCTACCTGCCGCAGCACATACAGTACAGTCATTGCTAGAGACGCGAATTTCCTACAACTATCTTTTCTCCAAGTCGTACGCCCGTGGCATTCGACCATGCCAAGGATCTGATGAAAAGATCCTGGAGAGTCAAGCGAACGCAAAACCGTTCCAGCATTTGTCATCAGCCTGGTTTTTCGAGACCTGCTGAGCTCAAATGAACTTCCTTCCCACCACCGGGCTGCCTGTGAGGAGGTCTGGGACCGATGAATTGGTCTTTTGACCGGCATCTTCCGTGTCGCTGCTAGCTACCAAAGACTGATCGCGAAGGCCAAACGAGTCGCGACGGCTGCTGCTGATGAAGGGGTCGAAGATCGAGTCGTTGAATCGTTCAGATATCCACTTTGGGAAGGTGCTGCTATCGGACTCCTCACTCTGCATGAAGCTATCTTCCTGGTGCGAATGTATCGCTGCCGAGTGACTCTGCGGTGTCTGCAATGGCGAGTGCATGGGAGGTGGCGTTGATGGGGCGAGACCGACGTCCCTGTAGTGTTGCAGCCGCAGCTCTTCCAGGCTGAGATTTTGCACTCCAGGCTGAGCAGTAACGGTATGATATGCCGTAGCTGCGACAGATTCTCCCGTTGCATCGTCACCCTCGACAAAGAAAGGTTCTGAGTTCACCAGCGAAAGAGGCTTGCGACCAGTCGACGGCGCGACTCTCGTTTTTATCAGCCATGCCTTTCTCCTACGTTCGGCGGGCAACGGATCCCATCCAGTCATGCACGCCATTTCATTGCCGCTCCAGAGGAAGATCTGAAGTGCTGCAAGACATGCTACCATAGCGACTTCGAACGCCACAAAGCCAACCACCGGGTAGAGAACGCATTGTCCGAGATGGAGGTTGTACCAGCGTCGACCTGGCCATCGCATCGCCAAAGCAACCGCATAAAGCCCTCGACGTAAAATTTCCTGCACGCGCTGCAGTCGCGACTTCTTCAGTCCCTTCTCCGCGTGACACCAATCTTTCGCTGCGGCTGGGAAATTGTTCAAGAGAATGTAGTCGATGCTCGAGTTTGCCATTTTGACGACGGAAGTGATGACCATCCAGCCCATGACTACCGCGACGGCATTGCTGAGAAGTTGAGATGTCCAGCCTTCGCCATGTGGGATTTTGTATTCGATGACCCTGGCATAGTAGTAGTGCAGCGTGTTGTTGGCCATGGCGCTGTCGTCGTGGTGCGAAAGTATGCTGCGAAGTGGTATAAGAGGGTGCGAGGTCATCAACAACAAGTTTTTTTGATGAAGGAGGAATCGCGTTGCGTTGCGTGTAAACAAAAGTAAGAGCAAGCGCGAATGCAGCTGCTGCTGCAAGTCTCACAGCGAAACATGCCTTCCCGAAACAGTCGGTCTTGGCACTTCACATGCACAGCCGTTGAAGCTTCAGAACGGTGTTTCCAGTATCACGGAAGTGAGAATTTTGCTTCCCTTGCATCCGAATCCAACTCTCAACCCAAACACGCCCTCCTCCTCCTCCTCCTCGCCCGAAACACAAACAAACCACATCCACCCGCAACACAACCATGCCACCACCTTCCATCCCAGGCGGCTGGACCGACACAGACGACAAAGCCCTCCTCCTCGGCATCCTGAAGCAAGTCGGAGCCTCCAACATCAAATGGGAGCCCATCGCCTCCAGCCTGCGTGGAAATGTCACGGCTTCGGCTGCAGTGTAAGTCAGACATAGTAAATTCCTGATGTGGAAGTCTACTGGCTAATTCCGTTTCAAGTCAGCGTTATAATAAGATCAAGAAGGAGGTTGGGGTGGGGATTGATGGGCATAGTCCTGCGATGAAGACTCCGGGCAAAGGCAAAGGCAATGGGGGAGGGAAGAAGAGTGTTTTGGGTGGGAAGAGGAAGGCTGGAAAGGATGATGAAGATGGTGATGATGATGATGATGAGGAGGAGAAGACTCCAACTAAGAAAGCCAAGAAGGAAGTCATTAAGAATGAGGACGAGGGTGGAGATGATGATGATGATGATGATGGATTGTGAGAACCAAGCCTGTCTTCTCAATCGAAACAAAGTGAAGTGAAGTAGTAGCAGCAGCAGCAGCAGCCTAGAAAACCTCATGATCCAAAAAGCTCACTTCATCACGCGCGTTCTATTCCATCATCATCATCATCATCCCATTTTTCCAGTCCTTTGAAATCTCTGCATCCACCCACCATGGTTCTCTGGGACGAAAGAAAAGACCGCCATTTCCTCATGTGCATCATCCAAACGCAAAGCATCACCACACCGGATTGGAAGGCTGTCGCGGAAAAATTGAATTCGGTTACGGGGGAGAAGTTTAGTGGGAATGCTTTGCGGTACTTTTTATCACTTTCAACAATCCCGAATTCTGGGGGGTTTTTTTGTTTGTTTGTTGACGCTCGTGATAGGCAGAAATTTGATAAGATGAAGAAGAGTGCTAAGGAGGAGGTGGAGGAGGGTGTTGGAGGAGGAGGAGCTGGTGGGGAGGATGGTGAGAAGAAGAGTGTGAGGAAGAAGAAGAAGAGTACGGCTGTTAAGCGTAAGGCGCTGGGGAAGAAGAGTGGTGGGTCGGCGGAGGAGGTGGAGGACGGAGAGGAGACTCCGGCTAAGAAGAAGAAGATTAAGAGGGAGGTTGCTGAGGAGGATGAGGATGAGGATGGTCTTTTGACTTGAGTTTTATCTGGTGCTTCTTGCATGATGAGGTACTACGAGGACTGGGTTGGCGTTGGCGTTGGCGTTGGCGTTCTCCGGCGGAAGGGCGAGGTGGAAGGAGATCAGCCTTGGAGCATATGTAAGCGTTCTCTCAGGCGCGACGTCCAAGTGCAACGAGGTCAGCACTCTGCACACTGGTTCCTGGCTGCTTGAAGTCTGGGGCTCCTATATATGAGTTGCTGAACCGACCTGGAATTTCACTCTTCTCAATTTTCTGTCTTCTCCATCTCCTCCTCTGGGTAGTCTGGACGTGTGCAAGGAGGGCTATGGGACCACGCGAAGTTTAAGAGAAGGGACTTTATTTACTATATGTGGAACGTTGTCAAGAATGTTCTGGGCATTGGTCGAAGTTCTTCGACTCGGTGAGTGGTGGTCGTTCTTTTGCTATACGTGGTGGAAGATGCGTTGATAACTTATAAGGGACACCAACACCAACGAGATTGGGAAAGTGGTGTGCAATCAGTGCCGACCGGAGATATTCTACTCGCATTAAATTTGTTGGGTCACTATCCCGGCACCCGCGAGCGCCACAGCCTGAAGATAGTGAAACAAGAAGTGTGAGGAGAGTTTTGTGATGGCTGTGGCAGAAATAGCAGAATCTGAAACACACCCACGCCCACACCCACACCCACACACCCTCGCTCTGCAAGGCTTGCAGCGACAAACCTCATTCGGTCGCGCGCGTGCGACTATTAATAACACACAATATAGTGCGACTATTATTGACTCGCAAGGCATAACTCGCAGGCACCAAATATATAGATATTGCTATATAGACCTTAAAGACCTTACTGTCGCTTTAGGTTAGTAGATCTTAGATATCTATCCTTCTAAATGCTATCTCCGGCTCCGCCTCTTCTATATACTCGTTATAGGTAGGCAGATTGCTATTCAAACTGTCGCTTATAGCGTCGTGGACTGTACCTTATAATAGTACTATCGTATTAGTAATAGCGGCTACTTCTTCTTCGTCTATTTATCTATTCTATTCTAGTATAAACGTATTACCTTTTAAGGGGGTTGTCCGCTTCCGCTTCTTGCTCTATAGCTCCTACTCTCTACGTAGGACTCGACAGTTAAAGTAGATAAAGATTAGCTAGTTAAGTCGCTCTATTATTAGACGAGAACGAAGCCTCGTCTATATTAGCTTAAGAGCTAAGAAGGTCCGCTTAGCAGTAACTATATTAGTAGTAGTCTAACAAAGCCGTAAGGTATAGGCTGCTAGCAATAGTAAGGCAGCGGCCTTATAGCTCTAGAATAGCTTTATATTGCTATAGCGTGTCTAGTAGTCGTTAGAGGCAATAAAGCTACCTCTTCTATAGATATAGTCGTAGAAATTAGTCTTAATTAATAGCAGGTTATCTATATTAGAGGTTGTTAACCGTAAGGCGTTAAGAACGAGAGCCTGTTTAGTTAGTAACGGTTTAATTCCTTTAATAACCGTAGAAGGGTTAAGGAAGTAGGCCGCCTAATAGTGCTTATTTACCTGCCTTAAGAAGCGCTCCTACTAGCCTATAATAGTCGCTATTGACTTCCTTATATTAAGGACAAATTAGACACCTTCGAGAAGCTCTTAAATTAGCAGTAGACTCGTAGTAATCTGCTTCTCGAGGGTCGCTTTATAAGCAAACTAGCGAGGTATTACCTTGTCTATTATAGCCTCTTTTAACTAAGATAGGATAAGCTAATTATTAAGTAGTTCGAGAAGGTCGATAGCTACTTAGAATTTAGTCTAGAATGCGTAGTCTATAATAGTATTCTTAGCCTCGTAATCTAGCGTGCTAAGATAGTCGCGAACGAGCTCTTAAAGGGCATATTTAGAGCGTAGAAGTAACTTAAATAAGGCGATTATAGTCGGCTACTGAGTCTTATATATACTAATTAGCGAGAAGGTCTTGCTATAGACCGCTACCTGCTTCTTCTTTAAGAGCTAATATATCGCCTTCTTCTACGACAAGTAACTAATAACGTACTAAGCCTCGTCGTAAAGGCCTTATAACTTAGGGTATTTAAAGAGGTCTCTTATTAATAACGCTCCGCCGTATAAGTCGTAGGGCACTATAATAACGTAACTTAGCTCTTCGTTATCTTCTAATAGACGTATTATTTTTAGGTTTGTAGTATACTATTAGACCGCTATACTAGTGCGCCCGTTTACTAGCGTCTTACGCCGCGACAAAAGATCGGAAGTATCCGCGCTTAATAAGCATAGATCTCGGGCGTACTTATAGGCTAGAAGTTACGTAAGTCTTGGCGCCAAGCCTTAGCCTACACCTCTAGACTCTAACACGCGCTTCCCTCTTCTTAGCTACAGCCCCCGTAGCCTATAACGTTATACCCCGCACCCTTATATATAGCCGGGCAACGTCTTCTTAGTATACCCTATACCCGAATATATAGCTAGGTAACGCCTTCTTAGTATACCCTATACTCGAGGTAGCTAATTAAACAACTATCGCAATCTAGTATAGCGATGTTTTTTAACTACCTATAAGTCGACCCCTCTAAGGCAGGTGCGCCTATAGCAGAGTCGCGCGCCTAAGGCAATTAGGCGCCTCCGAAGCCGCGTCTACCGAGGATTAGCCTAGTCGGCTAATAAGCGTACGCCGACTCGCCGAGAATCGAACGCGCGACCGTTAAACCTATAGACCGTTAAGCGCGGATACTGTATTAGACCGCTATACTAGTACGCCTGTTTACTAGCGTCTTACGCCGCGATAAAAGATCGGAAGTATCCGCGCTTAATAAGTATAGATCTCGGGCGCACTTATAGGCTAGAAGTTACGTAAGTCTTAGCGCTAAGCCTTAGCCTGTACCTCTAGACTCTAACACGTATATTAGGACTAAAGAGGTTATACGTAATTAGTATATAACCGGGCTCGAGTAAAGCTAGGGTCTCGATGCCTTAGGTAGGGCTTAGCGCTTAGTAGTAGGCTAACTTGCCTACCTTCCTCCCTCTCCTTCTAGCTCCTTATCGAATACTACTCGTACCTACTACTACCCTATCTATCTACTAATATAACCCTTCTTATACAGTATTCGATCTACCCTTTAAGGGTAGTAGCTAGATAGTCCTTATTTTAAGCTTTTAGCGGTATAGCTACGAATAAGACTAATCTAACTATATTGCGCCCGAAGAACGGGACCTATACGTACTATTCTATCGAAACAACCGTACCAATTATTAAGCAAGGCCTTCTATACGGCCTACTATACTAAGTTAATCGTACTAGACTAATATCTACTAATTCCGCTATATCCGTATCTTAGGGGCTAACAATATATTATTAGTATTACCCCCTACTATAATAGCCGGCTTATTACGAAGCAATAACAACCGTACTACCGCTAGTAGCGCTAGCAACGACAACGCTAGTAGCACAGTGCCTACTAAAGGGCCTACTAAAGTACCTACTAGAGTGCCTCCTACCGAAGAGCCTACTATAGGACCTACTAAAGAAGAACCTATAATTCTAGGTAACGACCTAGAATTGCCTATCGACGATATTCTTAATAATATTGTTAACCGTCGATATAGCTAACTAGCCTTTAGCCCCTAGCTAGTAGCGAGGCTTTAAAAAGCTACCTAAAACAGGCTTACTACCTTACGTTAAGAACAATAGCTAAAGGATAATCTTCTCGAGATTCGCCGCCTCTAGGAATCTCTAACAACTACTACTAAGCTAGTAGTAGGACCTTCTTTACTACCTATCTAAAAGAAGGATACTAAACTTAAGGACTATACTGTATTTAACGGCTCTAGTCGAAAGCAGTATAACGACTATATTCGTAACTATAAACTTAACTAGCGCAATGTACTAAGAGCGCTACTAGACGACTATTCCTTAGTCGTATACGCTATGTAGTATATTAATAGCGACCTAAAGCGTATATAGGATAACTATTTCGACTCCCTCGACGACTAGACCGCTATTTAGTAGCAGACCTACAAAACTATTATACTAGATACCCTTAGAAACCCTATACTAAGGCAATAATATGCTTAGGACCTATATCTTCGAGCTAAATAGAAGACTAATTAATCGGCTCGCTTATTTAAAGCCTATTTAAAAACCCTTAAAGACGACCTTCCGCCTAAGACTAATTCTATATAGATCTCCGAGATACGCCTAAAACTCAAATAGGAGCTTATCCTCGAATTAGACCGTCGCCGTGTGTTCGAACAAGCTAATCTAATACGTATTTAATTTATAGTCGAAGTAGAAACAGCCGAACGAGCTATTTAGCTCTAATAACGACTAGAATTAAGGATCCGACTAACTAGTACTAACCGTAGTAACCGTAGCCGCGGAGGAAACTAAGGTTCCTACTAGGACAACAATACTAATAGTAGGAATAGTAACAACGACCGTAGAAGAGGCCGTAGCCGGCGGCTATATAGAGGAGGCCGCGATAGGGGCCGTAGAAGGGGCTCGTATCCCTATAGTACTAACCGCTTAACTAACAACAATAGCTACGGCAGTCTACTAACCGGATTAAAGTGCTTTAATTATAATAGTACTAGCTATCTACTAGGCTAATGCGACAAACCTAAGGACTAGGCCCGAATTAATCGTACTTCCGCTAAATACCGAAAGTACCTCTTAGTAGCTAACGCTACCCCTATAGGCTAACCTTCGAAAAAAGAGTAAGCGCCGCACTAACTGTTAGCCTTATACGGCGTAAGACTATCGATATTGTGCTAGCTATAACACGCTCCTACCTTATATAGGACACGAAGGGCACTACCTATTAAACTAAGGTTATACTAGATCTAGGAAATTCAGTTAGTGCCCTTATTAGCTATCGCCTAGCTAAGCAATTAGACCTTCGACAACTGCCGAAGACTAACCTACTAACCCTTACTTAGTTTAATAACGCTCGGCACTTAACCTATAGGGCCTACTATGTTCCTATAGCTCTAAAGGACGACCTCGGAAATAAGCGCCTACTAGACTTTACTACCTACGTAGTAGATATAGACAACCTATATAGAGGAGCCGCTATTGTTATTAGCAACCCTGTTCTTAAGTACTACGCTATAGCTATAGACCTAGGCCTCTAGAAGTAGCGATTTAGAATCGCTAGGAAAGAGGATATTAAATACATTAATATTAGCGAGTGTCCTAATAATATTAGGGTCCTGTTTATTAGCAACCTAACACTAGCCTCCGCCTTAGCTAATCCGACTACCGATTTGCTCGATAGTAATAACGATAAACCTATGCCCCCTAATAATCCTAATTAGCTTGCTCGTATACTAGAGCCTATTCGAGAGACCTATATTAATGTATTTAAACATTACCTAGCATCGACACTGCCTATATTTAAGGAGACGGATTATAAGATTAATATTATAGAGGGCAAGGAGGTTCCTTTTAGCCCCCTCTATAACCTTAGTAAGCGAGAGCTTGCTATATTGCGTAAGTACCTAGAGGAAAACCTAGCTAATAGCCGCATTCGGTATAGTAACAGCCCTACTAGTGCCCCTATCCTGTTCGTACTAAAGAAGGATAGTAGCCTACGCCTATGTGTCGACTATCGTAGGCTTAATACTGTTACTATTAAAGGACGGAAACTAAAACTACTATTACCACCTGCAGTAATGGTATAGGCTACCGAGGGTAACATAACCTATAGCAATATAGGCAGCTATGTTTAGTATGATAGGATGACAAGACGGTTGCTTAGGCTAAAGACTAGAGCCCTGTAATATAGGCATTGTA